AAGGAAAAACAAAAGTTTCTCCTTTTATATTTAGTAATATATACAGGAGAAGGGATTACTAGCCCCATGCTCAGGGCATTTTAGTCGCCTCTTACAACACGCATGGCTTATGGAGGAAGAGTTCTGTTCCACTTCCCCATGGAGATAAGAGGAAATAAACAAGAATAAGAACTAGTAAGGAAATTGAACAAAAAACCAGAGGTGTGTGTATATATGTTTGTACATGTATGTGTAGTGTGACCTAAGTGTAAGTAGAAGCAGCAAGACGTACCTGAAATCTTGCATGTTTATGAGACAGAAAATGGACACCAGCAATCCTACCATTATGTAAAACAATTACAGGCTTTCGTTTTACACTCACTTGGCAGGACGGTAGTACCTCCCTGGGCGGTTGCTGTCTACCAACCTATATATATATATATATATATATATTATATATATATATATATATATATATATATATATATATAATATATTATATATATATATACATACATAAATATACACATAAATAAAGGTGGATTTGAATTCTAGTCCAGAAAAATTATGAAATACAATAAAAAACGATAACATATAATAATAAAAAAGTGACAAACATAATAATATATCAAACTGAGTAATTTTTAAATATCTACCCCCACTATGGTAGGTTCCAACACGGACCAAATTTGCTGGTGGCGATAGATGAGTCTGGCTACGTCAGGCTGATGAAGGTGCAAGACCCGGAAGGTTCGGGGGTGACAAAGTTCCAGTTCAAAGGTGCCATGGTAAAGCTGATTGATTACTTTTCTGATGCACTTAACTTTACGTAAGTAAACGATAGTGCTTTTAATTATTTATTTGATATTTGAAATAATGAATATACAGTTATGGAAGATATAATCCTGGATACTCTTCTAGGTAGAAATAATATCTGGCAACTCAGATATGATTCAGGAAATCGTAATTACACGATTGCAAACAAACCATACCACAAACGGGGTTAAAACCCGCGATCAGTGGCTAACGCGACGGTCTGGAGTTTTAGACTCTCTAATCCCGGGTTCTAACCCCGTCTGTGGTATGGGTTTTTTTTTCACTCAGACATAGTAAACAGAGGAGCAAATAAATTAGCAGAGCTTGTAATGGTAACTGCTTGACAAAATTAATTTGCAATACTTTCTGATAATCTATATAAAAGTGGATTTGTGAATGCAAATATGAATTGGTTTCAGTTCGGATATTATATCCAGTATTATAAAATATTAATATCTGTTTGTGAAGGTGATCAGAAATATTATAATGTGAGTGTTACATCATTCATCAGTCATATCTACTCGGGTGAAGCTTAAATTATATCTTGTGTAAATAGACACTCATACAGTTTATGTGGAATTTATTTGTGGCAACGTTTCGCTCACCAGGAACTATGACAAGCCTTTTACAAACATTAAAGGGACATTATATTCGACCTTAAATCACTCTTGATTGACTACTGTTATGGCAGGTTAGCACGATATTAGAGAATTTGTGTTATGGTCTATCACCCGGATAACAAGTAGTTTAAGATATCAGTTCATCAGTACTGAACAATAATCTACATTAACCTTCTCTCCTAGAATACGCTATTAGAGTTATTGATGCTATTTCCATGGACAACTTAAAAACTTGGTTAGATAATTATTTCAGTAAGAACTGATGAATTTGAATTGGATTTATGTAATGTTCTTATGTAATATTAAAAATATCATCATCCCTTAAATAAATATTAACATAAACATTCACTGTTTAGCTTAAACATTGATAAATGGCAGAAAAGGTTTGTACTGTTGGGTAGGTGTGTGATGGAGGTATAACGAAAGAACAGTTTGTACTGCTCCAGACGGGAAAACTAAATTTTTAAGTGTTTCTCACAGTGGGAATAATAAGGGATAGTATGTGCCCTCCATTTGCAGTCATGTATAAAATAAGATAGGAAGTGGGAAGTAAAGTAAGGCTTGGCTTATGTAGGCACAATCCTTCTCGAGAAATTGTGGGTTGCATATGCATGGTAAGAAGACACAAGCAACAACTTCTTGACTGATGTGATAAATAGTTTATAAAACCGACAAGTTGAAGATTGAGACACTTATGCAACATATGGGAATCTTTATTGAGGAAATGTTTCGCCACACAGTGGCTTCATCAGTCCAATACAAATCAGAAAGGTATAAGGAGAGGAGGAGTTTGAGGTAATCAGTCCCTCAGCCTGGAGTCGATGTGTTCAGTCCATCAATCTTGTAGAATGTACAGCATAGGGCCGTAGACGTGGCTTATATACTGTAGTCAGGTGAGGCGAAGCAGGAGGAGGCGGGGTCACAGTGGTACCATCCACTAGTCGAAGTAGGTCTTCGTCCAAAGGTTGGACAGATGTTGAAGAATTTTTTGTACCAAGATCCCATGATGATGCAGTGTCTGACAGTTGTGATGAATGGTTTAAAATCCCGACAAGGTGAAGATCGAAACACTTATGCAACATATGTTGCATACGCGTCTCAATCTTCAACTTCTTGACTGGTATAAGTATCAAGGTGATAATATGTGTTACATTATTCTTCTTTGTTTGCTTCCTGTACACTTTCAAAGAAAGAATGTCAGTGTCCATTTTCGTGTTACCCTTCGCCCTCAACCTTCAGAGTGACCTTGATGAAGAGCTCTACAGTACTGATCCTATTGAGAATGGCTTGTAAGTCAAGGAATCTAGGATATATCGAGCCAAATATATAGAAACCAGGTCACTTTTTGCGAATTGGAGCACCAGTGTGTGTTGGAAACTACCCGTCCCGAAGTTATAAGGCGTATTGGAATGCTGGATTTGTGGATCTTCGGTTGGCCGTAAAGTCTAGCCCTCGTTCCTCTAAGCCGAGTCAGTACTACAGAAAAAAGTCGCAATGAAATATGTAACTTTTCTTTTCAATAAATTGGTCGGATTCTAATCCGATACCTGGAAAATGTTAATCATTTAGGCATGACAGTTTCAACATCATTTTTCTAAATCATAACTTAGCGTAGCGGAACAAAGGTCTTAAAAAATAGAAGAGTTAAATCGATCTGATTAATAAAGTTCTTAATGAAGTTCTTAATAAACATCAGTTTGAAAGTTAAGACACTTGTGCAACATCTGGTTATCTTTATTGTAGACGTTTCGCCATCCAGTGGCTTTATCAATACAGATTCTTGGACATAATTAGAAAACAGAAGAACTATATACAAAAGATGAGGTAATCAGTCCTTCAGCCTTGGAGGTGGTGTTTACAACACCGTGGTTGTAGAGATTCTGAAGCACAGGTAAGGAGACTGGCGCTTATATAGGCGTCAGTGAAGAGGGACGTGTAGCAGACGTGTATACCTGTCTTGCACAAGCATCAGTTTCAATAAAGTTCCTCTCTGCAGCTGTCTTTTTCACCACTTTTGGCCTTTACACCAGCTGTGTCATCACCACCAGCTTTGTCATCACCACCAGCTGCGTCATCATCACCAGCTGTGTCATCATCACCAGCTGTGTCATCATCATCAGCTGTGTCAACATCCTCAGCTGTGTATCATCACAGCTGTTGTCATCATCTCAGTTGTGTCATCATCACCCCCCCCTAAAAGCTGTGTCATCATCACCAGCTGTGTCATTCACCGCCAGCTGTGTCATCATCTCCAGCTGTTATGTCATCACCACCAGCTGTGTCATCACCACCACTGTGTCTCACCACAGCTGTGTCATCACATCCAGCTGTGTCATCACCTCCCAGCTGTGTCATCTTCACCAAGCTGTGTCATCACCACAGCTGTGTAATCATCAACCAGCTGTGTCATCACCGCAGCTGTGTCTTCACCCCAGCTGTGTCATCACCACCAGCTGAGTTCATCACCACCAGCTGGTCATCACCACCAGCTGTATGTCATCACCACCAGCTGTGTCATCACCACCATCTGTGTATCACCACCGCTGTGTATCACCACAGCCTGTGGCATCACCACCAGCTGTGTCATCACCACCAGCTGTGTCATCATCACCAGCTGTGTCATCACCACCAGCTGTGTCATCATCACCAGCTGTCATCACCACCAGCTGTGTCATCACCACCAGCTGTGTCATCACCACCAGCTGTGTCATCACCACCAGCTGTGTCATCACCACCAGCTGTGTCTCACCACCAGCTGTGTATCCACCACAGCTGTGTCATCATCACAGCTCTGGTCATCACCACCGCTTGTGTAATCACCACCAGCTGTGTCATCACCACCAGCTGTGTCATCACCACCAGCTGTGTCATCACCACCATCTGTGTCATCACCACCAGCTGTGTCATCACCACCAGCTGTGTCATCACCACCAGCTGTGTCATCACACCAACTGTGTTAATCATCACCTGCTGTGTTCATCACCACCAGCTGTGTCAATCATCTCCAGCTGTCACACCACCAGCGGTGTCATCACCACAGCTGTCGTCATCACCACCAGCTGTGTCATCACCACCAGCTGTGTCATCACCACCAGCTGTGTCATCACCACCAGCTGTGTCATCACCACCAGCTGTGTCATCATCACCAGCTGTGTCATCACCACCAGCTGTGTCATCACCACCAGCTTTGTCATCACCACCAACTGGGTCATCATAGTGTGTCATCCACCCACCAGCTGGGTAATCACCACCAGCTGTGTCATCACCACCAGCTGTGTCATCACCACCAGCTGTGTCATCACCACCAGCTGGGTCATCACCAGCTGTGTCATCAACACCAGCTGTGTCATCACCACCAGCTGGGTCATCACCAGCTGTGTCATCACCACCAGCTGTGTCATCACCACCAGCTGTGTCATCACCACCAGCTGTCATCACCACCAGCTGTGTCATCACCACCAGCTGTGTCATCACCACCAGCTGTGTCATCACCACCAGCTGTTCATCACAACAGTGTGTCATCCCACCATCTGTGTCATCTCTCCATTATGTGTCATCACCACCAGCTGTGTCATCCTCCACCAGCTGTTGTTGTCACACAACCAGCTGTGGAACTTGATGGAACTCTTATTAAAATATTCATTAATGACTTCAAATTAAAACAAACTCCGGGTAGGAGCTTCAGCTTTGATGCTCTGTGGTACAGATAATAGAGCGTTGGGTCGGGTTCAAACTCTCTCACTCGCACTAAATTATTACATTATTTCGCATTTGCAGTACATAAGTGTAAGTAACTTATGAGTTACTGAATATACACATGTATTTCATTAGGTACACCTTCGTTCGACCTCGTGACGGAGTCTGGGGCGTTAAACTCAATAATGGTTCATGGTCCGGCATAATGGGCATGGTGGCGAGGTAAGGTCAGTATTGTCAGGTATATACATAAACCTTGTAATGTATAATATATGTAATGTATATAAATATATATATATATATATATATATATATATTATATATATTTATATATATATATGTATATATATATTTATATTTTTATATAAATATATATATAATAAGATATATATATATATCTATATATATATATATATATATATATATATATATATATATATATATATATATATATATATATATGCAAAACAAAATCCACTGTGAAAAAAAGTAAATTCCAAGCGCTTTTGTGACTACTCACTTATCAATTGATAATGTGAGTTAGTCATGAAAAGCACTTGGAATTTCTCTATTTTTTCATAGTGGTTGTTTTGTACATATTCTGAAATCACCTGTTTTACTGTGGATCTTTTGCTATATATATATATATTTATATATACTATATATACTAATATATATATTATATATATATTATATAATATTTATATATATTATATATATATGTCTATATATATATATATTATATATATATAATATTTTATATATGTAATTACAGTGGAACCTCAAATATCGAACGTATTCTTATCGAAAGTTCAAAAATAGAACCCTTTTTTCGAACCAACTTTGTCCATACTTTTCGAAGCATGCCCATATTCTCGGACTGCCGCGGTACGGCCTGTCCGCCAGCCCGCTCTGTCTGCGTCCCCACGCAGGCGCCGTGAGTCCAGTCTGGCTTTGTTGATGGTGAGTGGAACACTAACCTGCGCTATCATTCAAACATTTACAATTATTTAATTGTGTATAGTACTTGTGGGGACTGTGAAATAAGCTACCATGGGCCAAAAAAAACTTGCTAGTGGTAAACCCCTGTGGTAAAGATGTAAGAAACACCATTAGATGTGAAGAAGGAAATAATGCAGAAAGTATGAGAGTGGTGTGAGACATGCTGAGTTGCCAGGATGTGTGGGGAAAAACAAGTCGCCATCAGTTCTATCCTGACAAAGAAGAAAGAAACAAATCAAGGCAAGCTGATATTGCGAGAGGTATTAATATGCCTAACCAAAACAAGACACACAAATAGTTCAAAGAGGTTGAGAAGTTTGTTGTTGGTGTGGTTCAACGGATAAAGACGATGGCAGTGATAGTGTTTCAGAGACGATTATTTGCGAACAAGGCCAAGGAAGTTGCATGCCGATTGGTTACAGAAAAACTCCTGAACAGTTCAGTGACAGAAACCATGTCCCATTTAGCGGAATTGTTAAGGAGGCGCCATTGAAACAGAGGAACTCGTGGACAGTTATTTTTGGTGAAATCAGGGGTACAGTTGACTCTCAAGGTTGGTCCTAGTAGCATTAAAAGACAGAAGACAGAAGGGAAGTAACTCCAGAGAGGGCTTTACCTGAAGTCCTCATGGAGGTGGAATCTCCTTCAAAACACTAACCCCAACTCCCTTTCTCCTCCTCCCTATCTTCCAGATGCCATCACCAATCTTCAATAAAGGTACCTAAATTGTTATTTTATATTTACATACATAATTAAACACTATAGTATTTGTTGTATGTATGTAAAACTGTAATTATTCTCTATAAAATGTATTTTTTTGTGAATATTTCTGGGTTCAGGAACGGATTAATTGTATTTCCATTATTTATTATGGAAAATATTGCTTCGATTTTCAGACTTTTCGAATTTAGAACTAGCTCCTGGAACGGATTAAGTTCTTAATTACAATCAATGATTGTAAATAAGATCTAATAAATGTAAAACGATCTTCTTACTTGCTTGATACAGTTTTCTCAGTCTTTTGAAAATCAATTGGATGGTTAAAATCTCTCACATGAATAAATAGAGCATTTATATCTATCTGTCTATCTATCTATCTATCTTTCAATATATATGTTTTATTAATATATATTTATATATAGTATATATATATATATATTTATATATATATATATATATATATTATATATATATATATAGATATATATTATCATATAGCGCCCCGAATATGTAAAAACTGGTCAATTAGCAAAAACTCATTTAAATTAAGTCGTTTCTAAAATTTTCTTTTATGCGTTTAAAGATACATAATTTTTCATTTATATTAATGTAAAAATTAATAATTTTGTACCAAAAAGAACCTTAGAAAACTTTCCTAACCTTATTATAACAAGCGCAATTTAATTTAGCCTAACCCAACTAAATATATTTTAAGTAACTTTACAATAATTTAATAATAAACAAACACAATGAAATATATTTTTTCGCTAAGTTTAAAATGACTTTTGCGAAATTAATGCATATACAAATTTTCGCTTGCCTTATTCGGAAGAAGAGAGTATGGAGGAGGTGTATGTATTCAGAAATTGGGAGTGAAGTGGACGCTGTCGCGGATGGGTATATGAAAGTGAGGTGCTCATAGAAAGGATGAGGGGAAAAGGGGTGAGTGGTACCTATAGAGTCTTTGGAGAAAAAAGAACTTTGTCCTTGGAGGCAAAGAGGGGATTGTATGAGAGTTATAGTTTTACCAAACGCTCTTATATGGGTGTGAAGCATGGGTGATGAATGTAGAAACGAGGAGAAGGCTGGAGGCAGTGGGAGATGTCATGTCTGAGGGCAATGTCTGGTGTGAATATTAATGCAGAGAATTTCGTAGTTTGGAAAGTTAGGCAGGAGGTGCGGATTTACCAATAATGTTGTCAGGAGGGCTGAGGAAGGGTTGTTGAGGTGGTTCGGGAACATGTAGAGAGAATGGGAGCGAAAACCGAATGACTTCAAGAGTGTATCTGTTCTGTAAGTGAAGGAAGGCGGGGTAGGGGTCTGCCTAGGAAAGGTTGGAGGAGGGGGTAAAGGAGGTTTTGTTGTGCGAGGGGCTTGGAACTTCCACAGGCATGCGTGAGCGCAGTTTGATAGGGAGTGAATGGAGCAAATGGTTTTTATACTTGACGTGCTGTTGAGAGTTTGAGCAAAGTAACATTTATGAAGGGGTTCAGGGTAACCGGCAGGCCGGAATTGAGTCCTGGAGATGGGAAGTACAGTGCCTGCACTCTGAAGGAGGGGTGTTAATGTTGCAGTTTAAAAACTGTAGTGTAAAGCACCCTTTTGGCAAGACAGTGATGGAGTGAATGATGGTGAAAGTTTTTCTTTTTCGGGCCACCCTGCCTTGGTGGAATCGGCCAGTGTGATAATAATAAATAAATATATATATATATATATTATATATATATATATATATATAATATATAATATATATATATATATATATATATATATATATATAATATATATATTATATATATATATATATATTATATATGCAAAAACAACCACTCTGAAAGAATAGAGAAATTCCAAGCGCTTTCGTGACTACTCACATTATCAAGGAACTATGAAAGTGAAGCATCCAAGGAAGCTATATAAGGGGTCCGGCCAGCACCTCACTATCAGATCCCACAGGGTTTAAACACGTGAGGGCGCGGCGAGCCAACTTGGATAGGTCCTTTGCACAACTCACCCCCAAGCTATTCTACCCAAGAAAATTTAAAAATTATTTGTCCAGTGTATTTTTAAAATTCTTCCCAAATTCTATTAATTAAAATGGATCTAATTTATATAAACCAAAGGAAATATTCATATTATTGTCAAAACTGCTTTTTATGAAACAAGATTCAATTATATTCCTGTCGACCATGGACTTGCTTGATACTACTTTCTCAACTTTTTGAAAATCAATTGGATGGTTAAAATCTCTTACATGAATAAATAGAGCATTGGAATCTTGTCCAGTTCTAATGCTATATTTATGTTGTTTTAATCTTAGTTCGAGATTTTTACCAGTTTGACCGTAATAAACTTTATCGCAAATTTTAACAAGGAATCTCATAGACACATCCATCAGCATTTTGGGGGAATTCTTTATCAAAAGTTTTTTTACTGTATCAAGATTTTGAATACAACTTTAATATTAAAAGTCTTAAGAAGAGAAGCATATCAACCAAGTTTTCAGGGTAAGGGAGAACCAACATATTTTTAATTGAATAAGGCTGGTTGCCCCTTTTTGGATTATAAAAAGTGTTTCTAGCAACTTAAAAGATTTATCAATTACATTTCTTGGGTATTTTAAATCATTACCTATTTCATAAATTTTGGATATTTCCTCATCTATGAACTCAGGACTACAAATTCGTAAAGCTCTCAAAAACATTGATGAGAAAACAGACAGTTTGACTCTATCTTGATGCGAGAATAATAGTGGACATAGGAACAGTTATTTGTAGGTTTTCTGTAAATTTTAAATTTGAATTCATTATTACCCTTAATAATTAAAACATCTAGAAAAGGCAATGAGTTATTTTCTTCAAACTCAACAGTAAAGTTTATAGAATGGGCTAAGCTATTTAATTTTCCAAGAAAATGGTGTATATCTACATTTTTGGGCATAAGACACAAAATATCATCAACATATCTGAACCATTTAGCTCTATTAGGGAGGATTGTGCTAAGCAACCTTGTTTCAAAAAATTCCATGTATAGGTTACTAAGAACGGGTGAAAGAGGATTTCCCATTGCCATACCAAACTTCTGAGTGTAAAACTTATCATTAAATACAAATTTTGCATCAACAATGCAAAGTTTAATAAGTTTAATGATAGTAGGAACTGGCAATGGTAAATCATAGTTAACGAGTTCTTCAGATAAGAAACTTAATAAATCATCAACAGGAACTTTCGTAAACAAGGAAGTAACATCAAAACTAACCATGTTAAAATCATTTAAGTCAGTCAAGGAGCTTAATTTATCAACAAAGTCTATGTTGTTTTTAACATTAAAGTTAGAAATTTGCCAACAATAGGCTCAAAATATCAACAAGCCATTTGGATAATTTATATGAAACTGATCCTATGGAGCTAATAATTGGTCTGACTGGATTCCCTGGTTTGTGTGTTTTTATTAGTCCATACATGTAAGGTAAAGATGGATTTGTGGAAGTAAATTGTTTGACTAATTCATCTTGCCTTTCAGTAGAAGTTTTATTGTTTTATAGAAATTGCTGTTAACGGTTTCTAGGGGGTTTTTCCTAAGTTTAGAATAGGTTTCAGTATCATCTAAGAGATTATTCATTTTTTCTTGTAATCATTTTCTTTCATAATTACTATTGCATTTATTTTGTCTGCTTTAGTAAGGCGCAAATTTTTATTGTTATTAAGTGTATCATATGACTTAAAGAATCTTTGAGGGCAATTGGGAATGTTTGGTTTTAACATAGAGCTATATACCATTCCTTTACTAATATTAATTTCATCAGAGGATAAATCAGAAAATTTTTCAAAGTTACAAAAGGCTTTTGCAATTTCAACATTATTAAGTTTTTTTGAAGTTGCAAAACTTAGGCCAAAACCTAGAGCAGCAGTTGTATGTTTGTCTAAAATTTCATCTGATAAGTTAATTACAAAATTGTTATTAGCATGCTTTGTCCAATCACTATTTTCAATTAAAATGTCTAATTTTCTTTGTAGTTTGTTCTTGAGTTCATTACAAATTCTTCTGAGTTTATTATAGCAATGATCCAACATGCTGTGTTTCCATTCTGATGGAATGCCTTCTCTTCTTAAGACTTTTAATATTAAAGTTGTATTCAAAAATCTTGATACAGTAAAAAAACTTTTGATAAAGAATTCCCCCCAAAATGCTGATGGATGTGTCTCTAAGATTCCTTGTAAAATTTGCGATAAAGTTTATTACGGTCAAACTGGTAAAAATCTCGAACTAAGATTAAAACAACATAAATATAGCATTAGAACTAGACAAGATTCCAATGCTCTATTTATTCATGTAAGAGATTTTAACCATCCAATTGATTTTCAAAAAGTTGAGAAAGTAGTATCAAGCAAGTCCATGGTCGACAGGAATATAATTGAATCTTGTTTCATAAAAAGCAGTTTTGACAAAAATATGAATATTTCCTTTGGTTTATATAAATTAGATCCATTTATAATTAATAGAATTTGGGAAGAATTTAATAATACACTGGACAAATAATTTTTAAATTTTCTTGGGTAGAATAGCTTGGGGGTGAGTTGTGCAAAGGACCTATCCAAGTTGGCTCGCCGCGCATCACGTGTTTAACCGTTGTGGGATCTGATAGTGAGGTGCTGGCCGGACCCCTTATATAGCTTCCTTGGATGCTTCACTTTCATAGTTCCTTGATAATGTTAGTAGTCACGAAAGCGCTTGGAATTTCTCTATTCTTTCAGAGTGGTTGTTTTGCATATTTTGAAATCACCTGTTCACTGTGATCTTATTGCATAATATATATATATATATATATATATATATATATATATATATATATATATATATATATATATATATATATATATATATATATATATATATGTATGTATATATATATATATATATATATATATAATATATATATATATATATATATATATATATATATATATATATATATATATATATACAGAGAGAAAGAGAGAGAGAGAGATTGAAAGATAGATAGACAGATAAACAGATAGATATAAATGCTCTATTTATTCATGTGAGAGATTTTAACCATCCAATTGATTTTCAAAGGGCTGAGAAAACTGTATCAAGCAAGTTAGTAGATCGTTTTACATTCATTAGATCTTAATTACAATCAATGATATAAAGTTAAATTAAATATCCTTAAAGTGGTCAATAATATGTTTATTAGAATTAGTTTAAATTATATTAACTCTCCCCTACTTTTTTTGTATAGAGGTAAAGAGGCGAGTATAAGCAGGCTACAGACTCGCTTACCATAAATATTCATTGGCTGCTTTTGATGGTATTTCTTTCAGATATGTTTATTAAATGTCTTTATATTGTATGAACTAGTTTTGATCGTTTTCTAACACTTGGTCAGTCTTCCTACAGGAAGTAAGTATCGCTGCTGGACCTTTCATGATTGATACTTATCGTGCCGAGGTGGTGGACTTCACTGTGCCAATATTCATAGACTACTGGAAGATCCTGGGGGTCCGAGGTCTTCCAGAGGTGGACCCCTGGGGCTTCCTGTTCCCCCTGGCACCTCTGGTGTGGGCGGCCATCCTGGTGATGCTGGTGGTGCTTGCTGCTGCAGTGTTCCTTATGTATGCCTTCGGCTCTGTCAGAAATGGTTACCAAAATTACTGGGTCGAGGTCGCCTTCGGCTACATTCGGATATTATTACAGCAAGGTAAGTTTTATCTTCACCGAAACTGTCTTCTAACTTTTGCCTCCCTTCTTCACCTGCCCTGTCTTCTTGTTGTGACTTCACATTGGTCGTATTGGCGAACATAAATAAACTTATATTATCAACGGCTGTAACAAAGCTTGCATGCTCATCGTAGTGATCATAAACATCTTATGAAGTGGAAGATCACAAAATAAATAATAAAATAATCTGTGATTCGTAAGAGGTGTCTGGAGGCATCGTTCCCATCAGCCAAGGAGAGAGAGACTCATCCAAAATAATGGCGGCCTCATCATAACAGAGATATTACCCAGAATCATCGTAAGGCACCACAATGCTGTTATCACTTATAAAGAGTAAGTCAACCCGGCGAGTTAGGCGTAAAAACCAACAGTCTTTCCTGCCGAATAAGCAGAGTAAAAATTGCGCTGTAAATCTGTGAAATTTAGTCTGAACATAACTAAAATATTTAATGATATATATATATATATATATATATATATATATATATATATATATATATATATATATATATATATATATATATATATATATATATATATATATATTTATATATATTATATATTTATTATATATATATATATATATATATATATATATATATATATATATATATATATATATATATATATATATATATATATATATAGTCGTGCCGAATATGTAAAACTGGTCAATTAGTAAGAACTCATTTAAAATTAAGTCCTTTCTGAAATTTTCTCTTATACGTTTAAAGATATATTTCTTTCATTAATGTTAATTTAAAAAAATTTAATTTTGCACCAAAAGAATCTTAGAAAACTTACCTAACCTTACTATCACAAGAGCAATTTATTTTAGCCTAACCCCACTAAATATATTTTAAAAACGTTTACAATAATTTACTACTAAACAAACACAATCAAATATTTTTTTTCGTTAGGTTCAGAAAGATTTGGGAGAAATTATTGCATACACAAATTTTCACTTGTCCTATATGGCAAGATGAGCGTTGCTGGATGGACCCATCTTTTGAAAAAACCCTGTGTATGATCATGAGCTTATGAATGTAGGGATGACGGGTAACATTTACGTAAGTCTGGTGACCTGGAGAGTGTACAAAAAACTTTCACGGCACAGATAAGTACGATAAGGCAATTAATTACTGGGAACGGTTGAAGTCTATTGATTTGTAAACCCTGGAACGCAGGCGAAAGACATTCATGATGATATACACTTGGACACTCGTAGAGGAATTATTACCAAACTTGCGTACGAAAATCACTCCCTATAATAGCAAAAGACTTGGCAGGAGATCCAACATTTTCCCAATGAAAAGCAGGGGCGCCACGAGTACACTGAGAAATAACACAGTAAGTGTTAGGGGCCCAAGACTGTTCAACTCCATCCCAACATACATAACGGGGATTACCAATAGACCCCTGGCTGTCTTCAAGGGGGCGCTAACCCCCGAAACCTTCTCCAGGTATACTCCAAGTATACGTTAATTAATTAATATGGTTTTGAAGTGATGCTGGCTATTTTAACCTGACATAATAGTATGTATTTGTGCTGTGTTATTTTTTTATTGGTAATGTTATTGAATTTTGTGAGTGTTGGAGCTGAGTGACGTACGGCATCTAAGGTCTCGTTAATATCACAAATAGCTACAAAAACATTTAGAATTTACACAACTGTGGTAAATTGTGAAATATAAACGGTTTACAGAGCTGTTTCTGATGTAGTGTGGCACTGTAGTGAAATGTTTATTAAAATGTAATAATGAAATGCTTAAAATTAATTAAAGAACATCTATATTTTTTTAACAAATATATTTTACATCAATCATTGCAGATATGACTCTGCCTATAATCTGGTTGTGGGAGCGGTTGTTGCTGCTGGTGTGGATAATAGTGACACTGGTGTTAACACGGAGTTACTCTGGCAACCTCATGGCTCTCCTGGCAGTGAGACACATCCCTGAACCTTACCATACACTACGTCAAGTGTTAGACGACCCAACTGTTACGATCATATGGGAACAAGGCTCTGCAACAATCTCCTATATGAAAGTGAATCATAAAAACACCAAACCTGAATCTTCCTGGTGTATAATGATACGTTATTATACTATGAATGAATTAACATATATATATATATATATATATATATATATATATATATATATATAATATATATATATAAATAAATATATATATATATATATATATATATATATATATATAAAGAGAGAGAGAGAGAGAGAGAGAGAGAGAGAGAAACAGACAGACAGACAGAGACAGACAGACAGACAGACAGACAGACAGCGACAGAGAGATCGCAGTCAGCAGAACTCGATACTGCTACTGGGGACGGTCAAGATTCCCACTCATCCACTCACCCACTCCTGGCTGAGTGGATGAGAGCTCTGCCTGGGAATCTTGATCATGGAGACAAATGGTTTTTAATACTTGACGTGCTGTTGGAGTGTGAGCAAAGTAACATTTATGAAGGGGTTCAGGGAAACCGGCAGGCCGGACTTGAGTCCTGGAGATGGGAAGTACAGTGCCTGCACTCTGAAGGAGGGGTGTTAATGTTGCAGTTTAAAAACTGTAGTGTAAAGCACCCTTCTGGCAAGACAGTGATGGAGTGAATGATGGTGAAAGTTTTTCTTTTTCTGGCCACCCTGCCTTGGTGGGAATCGGCCAGTGTGATAATAAATAATAAAAGGCAAACTGATTTATTTACATCAAAGAGAGGATCAGATCACAGTAACAGAACATAAAAACACAAGAAAGGAGGAACACTGCAGGTATATGAATGTTACAGTAATAGGTCCATGTAAGTTATACAAAAAATCACTCTTCTCCATTTCTGTAGCTTCATTCACTAGGTACCTTTTATCTCTCTTCCTGAACTGGCTCATGCTATGACTGGCTTTGACATGTACAGGCAGTCTGTTCCACTCCTTGATTGCTGTACAATAAAAGTTGTTTGACGCCTGGCCACTGACTGTGGCTACTACAAAGTTGTGCTCTCTCCCCCTAGTACTAAGATTGCTTCGGTTCCCAGCCTTGACAAAATTGGCAGCAAGATATTCTGGATACCGTTTGTGAACAATTTTATAAACGTGATTTAACTTCAGTTGTTTTACTCTGTCCTCAACTTTCAGCATATCATCCTGGCCTACATGTTCTCTTGGACCCAGGTCCAGGAAGAATCTTACCAGTTTGTTCTGGGTAATTTGTAGTCTGTCTTTGAGTTTTTTGAAGAGCAAGAGTAATATACATAGCATTGTAAAACAGCTAACCATAGGGGCCTGCGAGCCTCGGTAGGTAGACACTGTTCTTGTTTGTAGAGGATCTTAAGCCTCTTGTCTTTTGCTCCTTGCTAACTTTGAGGAAGACGTTGTTGCTCAGCTCCAACCTCCCTCTTTGTAATCCAATCAGAGGTCCGCCCAAGACGATCTCTGTCCATACCAGGCTGCTAGGAAGAAAAGTTACAGCACCGCTCGGACAACGAGCGGTTGGCCTCAAATGCGTCAGCAAGTCGCCTAGCTGCCTCTAATGCAGTTGTCACTGAATGGTCTTCTAAGAACACCCGAACCTCTGGTCCATCTGACTCAAGAAGGTTGTCAGTTAAGACCATTTGAACTAACGTACTAAAATTAGTGGCACCAGTGGCTTTGTACCACTTAGTGAATGTTTTAGATCACCCACGAACAAAGTCCACATGGGACGGACCCAACTGATGCTTGTTCAGTTGAAATTCTCGCCTATACTTGGCGGAATGCACTGATATACGCCGAGTACAACTGCTTTTACAACGTCGTAATTAACGAATTCATCACCCATTCCAGCTGTAAACTTCTCTGCTTTTTCGTGCAATGCTGTATGAATGAGTGCTGCCCAATGCTCGAATGGCCATTGCAACGTTCGAGCCTGATTTTCAAAAGGCTCGAAAAATTGTTCATACTCAGAATCGGAAAACCCACGTACTAGCGACAGATTTTTGAACACTGAAATTGTCAACCACAGTACACTGAAATTGTCTCCTTTCCTCTCTGTCAGTCTCCTGTTTACCAAATGCACTTTGCTCCGTGGCCGTCTCAAGGTTGAGTTTAACCAGTTCTAGTGCTAACGAAGCTGACTGTCCCCGAGACAATTCATAACTCACTACCTGTTTCCCCATATGACTGTTGGTCAGGAGTCCTGCATTTTGAAGGCAGCGCAGCGGGGATCGGCGATTAATAGCTCCCGTAGCAGAAACCCCAGTTTGGTACGTCACGTTACCTGAGTCAACCTTTAATTTTTTTGGGTATGCACTCTCGAAACTGTGCAGCAGTAAGAATTCGTTGATACTCTATATCAGTCGAAAAAGCAATTCGCCAGCAGCGCTGTCGAGATAGTCTGGGCAAATTTTGCAGCTTATATTCACTCACCAGCAGCCTAACCCGTGTGGGCGGCATAAACCACTATAACAAAACGCTGTTTGCAATACGCTCAGTGTAACACAAAGCGATAGCACAGAACGACTTACAGGTTGCATTAAGACAACGCAAAAACAAAGTTCAGGATAGGTACCCCATATTACGTACACAGGAATAGATAGGGCCTGCACACCTTGCAGTAATGCTATAACCACTTAGAAACAAGCAAAAAGACAGCAGACAGTAAATTAATACATTTCCTTAGCCAAAAATAAGCTTGTATTTACAACATATATAGCCTATGTACAGTATTTACAGCTATGTACAATGAGGCAAATGGTAGCAAGACATGGTGAAACTGTGGCGACCAACAGGGAAGCAAGTCTGCCAAAGTTGTTTCACGAGTGTACCACGTCGCTTCACAGCTGTGGCAGGCTTCCTGGTGATTGGTTGGTTGAACCAAGGTACTGGTATAACGCTGGGGCCCCTGATCGCTAAACCCTTAGTACCTGGTTCACTGGTCGGAAGGCAGCCTATATGGGTGTATGACATGCACAAAAATGTGTAACATACTCTTAGCATACCACAATCCTTAAGACTAATCTGAGCTTTTAACTCCCAGTTGTATCCTCTTTTTCTTTTATCTTATCTGAAACATTCTGGCCCTGCTGACCTTATCAATTCCGCTCGGTATTCTATACGTCGTTATCGTGATTTCCCTATATTACAACCCAGGAGTCCCAAAGACCTGTTATCCGGGGTGTAAAGGGAGCAACATAAACACAGCAGAAAACTTTTGACTTGTATTATCCTTCACCAAGTAAGAACAGAATTATGTACACTATATACACTATGCACAACAATAGGTATTAGTGCACTCCACGGTAAGCAAGGCAGAATAGAAGCCACTACAGAGCAGACCGTGCTTCAACCAGCTCTAGAATGGGATTGACAAGGGCAGACAGGTGTGTGGTACCCACAACCCCTCCGCGATTGCCAAAACCATCTTCTCACTGGGTGGAACCTGGGTACTGATTGAACGATGGGGCCCCATCATCAACCCTTAGCACCTGGTTCGCTGGTTGGGGGAGATAGCCTTTCAATGAGGGTGTGTACATGCCACACCCTATCCCTCCTGTCCTCCAGTGCGATCAAGGTGAGTTCCCTTAAGACATACCCCTTAGCCCCGAGACTAGTCTTGTTGCAAACTTTTGCACTTTCTCCAATTTCTTGACGGTTAACTAGGTGTGAGTTCCTTACTGGTGCTGCATACACCTTTGTGGCCCTGGCGTAAACAGCGTGGACTGTCATGAATGGGTCTATTTAGATGTCGAAACACTATTCTTAGGTTTGCCAGGCGCCTGTATGCTGCAGCTGTTACTTATTTGATGTGCCCCTCAAGAGATGTGCTTGGTAGGATGCACACCCCAAGATCGTTTTCTTTGAGCGAGTTTTGCAGTCTCTGACCTCTTGGGCCGTACTCCGTCCGCGGTCTCCTTTGTCCTTCACCAACCTTCATAACTTTGCACTTGCTGGGGTTAAACCCCAGGAGCCATTTGTCGGGCCAGGTTCGCAGCCTCTCCAGATCCCCTTGTAGACTTACCTCATCTTCGTCCGCTTGAATTCTCCTCATTAAATTTACGTTGTCTGCAAACAGGGACACCTCTGACTCTATCCCTTTCGTCATGTCATTCCCATATACAAGAAACAGCACCGAACCTAAGACTGACCCTTGTGAAACCCCATTCGACACATGCACTCACTCAGACACCTCGTCTTGGACCGACAAACGTTATTTCCTTCCATTGCAGTACTTTCTCTCCTATTTCTGACTGCTCTTCTAGTTATTCAACCAGCCTCTTGTGTGTTACTGTGTCAAAAGCCTACTTACAGTCCAAGAAGATGTAGTCTACCCATCCCTCTCTCTCCTGTCTTCTCTTACCATGCCATAGACCTCCAGTAAGTTTGTGATGCAGGATTTCTCCTCCCTGAAGCCGTGCTGGTTTTCATGTATTAGTCCATTCCGTTCTAGGTGCTCCACCACTCTTTTTCCTGATAATCTTTTCCATAATTTAGGGCAGCCTGTAGGTCTATGTGTGCTCCCGCGTGTATGGGGGGAGGAGGAGAGAGAGGGGGGTTTGGTGCTTGTGTGTGGAGGTGGGGGGTGTTTTCAGTGAGTGTGTGTGTGTGTGTTTGGAGAATGTGTGTGTGTGTGTGTGTGTGTGTGTGTATAAAACATACCTTCGTCTGTATTAATTATGTCTTTCAGTTAGCGAAGTCTGGTATATTCCGGGAGATAGCAGAGGTAGAGAAGGCTGGTCGACGCTTCGTCTACGAACCACATCCGAAGTTCCAAGAAATTATAGACACTTTGGTGCGACGGGGCGATCACGTCTTTATTAATATCGATTCTAGTTTCAAATCAAATATTGCTGAAGATTTCACGAAAACAGGTACGTACTTTTAAAACAAAACACTACAAATCAATTGAATAATTTATCAAAAGAGAAATACCAAATCTCACGGTATATTATGGAATACATTCTGAAAAAAAACATACCACGGGCGGGGATAGAACCCGCGATCAGAGAGTCTCAAAACTCCAGATCGTCGCGTTAGCCACTGGACCAGCTAGCCACAATACGATTCGTCCAACTAGGTATATTTCTACACTATAGGAAGGTTAGCATAGGCACCACTGTGACCACAAATGCATTTGTGGTCACAGTGGTGCCTATGTTAACCTTCCTATGGTGTAGAAATATACCTAGTTGGATGAATCGTATTGTGGCTAGCTGGTCCAGTAGCTAACGCGACGATCTGGAGTTTTGAGACTCTCTGATCACGGGCTCTATCTCCACCCGTGGTATGGTTTGTTTGCAATCGTGTCATTACGATTTCGTGAGTCACGAATACATTCTGTATTGTTCCGTGATATATAGACCTTTCAATTAAGATTACTGAATCCGTTAGATCTATTTCTACATGAACTTAGTGCTGCCATGACAAGAAAGTTTTTGACCATGAATTAGGTATTCCGTAGAGACCTCTGTAAGCGATTATGTATATACATAAATTTAGCATACATACTGCACATACTTACAGAAATACAAACAATTCATGCACACTTAAATATGCATATACGTGCACATACATAAATGTAAACATATACACATCATACATACGTAAATGTACCCACGAATACATGCACACAACAACACACACACATGCATACATCTACACACATGCAGACATATACACACACACTGAGAAGATCCTTTGACACCTAGTAATTACTAAACGCAAGCACACAAGCACACACACACACACACACACACACACACACACACACACACACACACACAACACACACACACACAACACACACACACACACACACACACACACGACTTTATACAAGACTTTATACACTGTGTACGTCAGGCCCATACTGGAGTATGAAGCACCAGTTTGGAACCTACACCTGGTCAAACACGTCAAGAAATTAGAGAAAGTGCAAAGGTTTGCAACAAGGCTAGTTCCAGAGCTAAGGGGAATGTCCTGTGAAGAAAGGTTAAGGGAAATCGGTCTGACAACACTGGATTACAGGAGGGTCAGGGGAGACATGATAACGACATACAAAATACTGCGTGGAATAGACAAGGTGGACAGAGACAGGATGTTCCAGAGATGGAACACAGAAACAAGGGGTCACATTTGGAAGCTGAAGACTCAGATGAGTCAAAGGGATGTTAGGAAATATTTCTTCAGTCATAGAGTAGTTAGGAAGTGGAATAGTCTGGCAAGCGATGTAGTGGAGACAGGAACTATACATAGTTTTAAGACGAGGTATGATAAAGCTCATGGAGCAGGGGGAGAGAGGACCTAGTAGCGGTCGGTAAAAAGGCGGGGCCAGGAGCTGAGTCTCGACCCCTGCAACCACAATTAGGTGAGTATTAGGTGAGTACACACACACACACACACACACACAAACCTCCGATACCTCAGTAAGGAATCGCTCAAGCCATTGTACACCGTGTACTTCAGGCCCATATTGGAGTATGCAGCACCAGTTTGGAACCCACACCTGGTCAAGCACGTCAAGAAATTAAAGAAAGTGCAAAGGTTTGCAACAAGGCTAGTTCCAGAGCTTAGGGGAATGTCCTACGAAGAAAGATTGAGGGAAATCGGCCTGACGACACTGGAATGGCAGGAGGGTTAGGGGAGACATGATAACGACATACAAAATACTGCGTAGAATAGATAAGGTGGACAGAGACAGGATGTTCAAGAGATGGGACACAGAGACAAGGGGTCACAATTGGAAGTTGAAGACACAGATGAGTCAAAGGGATGTTAGGAAGTATTTCTTCAGTATTAGATTTGTCAAGAAGTGGAATAGTCTAGCAAGTGATGTAATGGAGGCAGGAACTATACATAGCTTTAAGACGAGGTATAATAAAGCTCATGAAGCAGGAGAGAGAGGACATAGTAGTGATCAGTGAAGAGGCGGGGCCAGGAGATGAGTCTTGACCCCTGCAACCACAAATAGACGAGTACACACACTCACACACTCACACACACACACTGGCTGAAGTGGCCAGAAGGGCCTGTGTGGGCAGGGCGAAGCTACTGGTCGTGGGGGCCTTCATTCACTAAGAAATCGACTGGGAAAACCTGGAGCCACATGGGGGACCAGAAACGTGGAGGGATAAGATGTTGGAGGTGACACTGGAAAACCTCCCACATTAACACGTTAGGGGAGAGGATAAACCAGCAAGACTTGACCAAGTATTCACCTTGAGCAGTGCAGATATTGAGGACATCACATTTGAAAGGCGCCTCGGAGCTAGTGATCACATGGTTCTAAGCTTCGAATACATAGAGTTACAAGTGGAGAGGGAGGCAGGGAGGGCAAGAAGAACGAAGCCAGCCTACATGAGAGGGGATTACACAGGCATTAGGGATTTCCTGCGCGAGGTCCAGTGGGACAGAGATGGCAGGAAAAACAGTAAATGAGATGATGGAATATTAGACAACAATATGCAAGGAAGCAGAAGAGAGATTTGTACCCAAGTGTAACAGATATAATGAGTAGGCCAGGACGAGCCCTTGGTTCACCCGAAGGTGTAGAGAGGCTAAAACCAAGTGCGCTAGAGAATGGAAGAAGTATAGAACAATAAGGAGAATAAGGAGAATAGTCGAAGAACAATAAATGAATACGCACAGGTGAGGAGAGAGACCCAGCAACAGTACGAAAACGACATAGCAGCGAAAGCCAAGTCTGACCCGAAGCTGTTGTACAGTCACATCAGGAAGAAAACAACAAACAGAGACCAAGTAATCAGGCTGAGGAAGGAAGGAGGGGAGTTAACAAGAAACAACCTTGAGGTATGTGAGGAGCTTATCATGAGACTCAAGGAAGTATTCACAGTGGAGACAGAAAGGACTCCGGAAAGGAGAGGTTGGGTACACGAACAAGTGCTAGACACGATGCATACAACCGAGGAGGAGGTGAAGAGGCTGCTAAGCGAACTAGATATCTTAGAGGCTATGAGGCAGGATAACATCTCTCCGTGAGTCCTGAGAGAGGGAACAGAGGCGCTATGTGTCCCCCTAATAACAATCTTCAACACATCTGTCGAAACAGGGCAACTACGCGAAGCATGGAAGACAGCAAATGTAGTCCCAGTTTTTAGAAAAGGAGACATGCACGCAGCATGAAACTACAGACCAGTGTCAATAACATGTATGCAGAGTCGTGGAGAAGATTATCAAGAAAAGAGTGGTTTACCACCTAGAAAGGAATGAGCTTATAAACGACAACCAGCACGAATTTAGAGACGGGAAATCCCATGTCACAAACCTACTAGAGTTCTAAGACAAGGTGACCGCAGCAAGAGAGAGAAGGGTGTCTAGATTGCATTTTCTTGGACTGTGAGAAGGCGTTTGACACAGTTCCACACAAAAGATTAGTGAATAAGCTGGAGGACCAGGCAGGGATAACAGGGAAGGCGCTGCAATGGATCAGGGAATACCTGACGGGAAGGCATCAGCGAGTCATCGTGCGAGACAAGGTGTCAGAGTGGGCGCCTGTAATGAGCAGGGTTCTACAGGGGTCAGTCCTAGAACCGGTGCTGTTTCTGGTATATGTGATTACACGAAGGAAGGAATAGACTCATAAGTGTCCTTGTTTGCAGACGATGTGAGGTTAATGAGGAGAATTCAGTCAGAAGAGGACAAGGCAAGACTACAGAGGGATGTGGACAGGCTGCAGGCCTGGTCTAGGAACTGGCTCCTAAAGGTCAACTCCACCAAGTGCAAAGTCATTACGATCGTGGAAGGGCAAATAAAACCGCAGAGACAGTACAATCTAGGGGGCCAAAGACTGCAAACCTCACTCAAGGAAAAGGATCTTGGTGTGTGTATAATACCGAACACATCTGAGGCGCACAGCAACCAAATAACTGCTGCGACATACGGGCGACTGGCGAACCCAAGAATAGCAATCTGGAATCTCATCAGGAGTCGTTCCGGACCCTGTATACCGTGTACGTCAGGAGTATGCAGCGCTAGTTTGGAACCCACACCTGGCCAAGGACTTATTTATATGTGTGTGCATATATATATATATATATATATATATATATATATATATATATATATATATATATATATATATATATATATATATATATATATATATATATATATATATATACATATATATATATATATATACAAGTGCATATACATACAGAACATGCATGCATTAATATGCACTGCACACATCAGCACAAGCATATATACACACACATATGCGCAAGTATGTATATGTGTACCTGGTCTCAGACCAGGTATACATATACATACATATACCAGGCACTGACCTCCGAAACCCTCTCCAGATAAACTCCAGGTATGCATATGTAATTATACATTTGTATATACATACATATAATTTTGTGTACATATGCATGTGTTAAAGAAGGAAATTAAAAGGGAACTTTGAGAAAAGCAAAATGGTGTATCAAAAAACATTAGAGATTGGATATTAAACAGAAGAATGGGAGTGTTTAGGAAGAAAATGTGCTTAGATATTTAGGAGTTGACTTGTAGGCAAATAACAACATAAGAATATGAAAAAGAAGGAACACTGCAGGAGGCCGGTTGGCCCATACTGGGCAGGTCCATCACAATGGTTCTATATGAGAAGTAACGAACTGAAACAGGTGGAGATCATCAACTTTGTGAAATTAAGACACATGTGCAACATCTGGTTATCTTTACTGTAGACGTTTCGCCATCCAGTGGCTTTATCAATACAAATTCCAGGACATAATTTGAAGACAATAGAACTATATACTGGGGCATCCCGCCTACCAGTGACTATGCCCTCGTCTGCTACCCGTCCCCAATCCTTGTCTCTGCTTCAGAGCCTCCACGACCACGGTGCTCTTCGCACCAACTCCAAGGTTGAGGGACTGATTACCTCATCTTCTGTATATAGTTCTACTGTCTTCAAATTATGTCCTGGAATTTGTAACGATAAAACCACTGGAAGGCGATACGTCTATAATAAAGATACCCAGATGTTGCACATGTGTCTTATTTCATCTTGTCGGTATTGTATACCATTTTTGTACAACATAAAAAACTTTATTCATGGAGACAACAAGAGAAATGCATCAGAGTATAGTGGTAGCAACACTGTATGGGTGTGAAGCATGGGTTTTGAATGTTGCAGCAAGGAGAAGGCTGGAGGCAGCAGAGATGTTGTGTTTGCAGGCAAAGTGTTGTGTGTATATTATGTGGTGTGTTAACTTTGATTTAGTTTTAAATTGGCATATGTATCTTTGGTGACGGGGTAGAAATAAACTTTAGGTGTTTAAAAATATTTAGTAATTTATTTACTGCAGGAAAGTGTTCATTTTATGAGTCCAGAGAAGAATTTCTGATGTCAGTGTTTGCAATGATGGCTCAAAAAGACAGCCCGCTGCTGCCATCTATAAATAAGAGGTAAAGTTAGACGCTTTTCAGTTTTTCTTTTTCTGTTTAAAATTAGAAAAAAAATTATATCTCAAAAATAAATCTCTTCTTATAGAAAAAAGTTAAACAGCTTATAATAGTTTTTTTTTTCTAAATACGGAATATAACATTGTCATTCGTTCGTTTTGATTTATTTTGAGTTTATGGACTGTCTGGTTGTGAGGTGGTGTGACGATAGATGGTCCTTAAAAACTGGGGTTGTTGGAAGATACACAACTACTGCCTACTACAGTAGGCCTATTAACCCATGCTAGGCACGTCAATCTCACACTAGCACCTACTCGTGTACTTGTCCAAACTAGATATCAAACTATCTTAGATTCTGGTTTCAATAATTCTACATGAAAGGAGGAACACCTACCCATACTTGGTAGGTTCTTCTCAAACCCACTAACGAAAATATACGCCCAACCCATTTTCAATATTGCGCACAGAATGAGCATGAATAACCATATTAACTTATGCACAAGTCCCACACAAAACCAACCCCTCACTCATGTGTTTATTTAACTTATATTTGCAGCTTAACAAGATTTTAGCAGAAAGTTCCACTCATCGACTATATTTTGAAACCGGTACCTTCGTATATCCTTTCTAAATCTAAATTTGTCTAATTTTAATCCATTATTTCCAATTGTTTCCTGAAGAGATCTCCTCGGAACCTAATTTGTATCTCCTGTATTTGTATCTCCTATATTTATACACATTTTTTATGTCTCCTCATTCTAATTTATTTTTTGTATGGAATATTTTTTATGCAATGGATAAATTTGTCATTCTTCTCTAAATGTTCTCTAATGAATTTATATTCATTCTGAATATTAAAATAGTATATAATACCGATAGGATGGTAAGATACATGTGCAATAGTTAGGTATCTTTATAACGAAAAGTTTCGCCTACACAGTAGGCTTCTTCAGTCGATGTGAGGGAAAAGTTCAATAGATAGGAGTAGCGAGGGAGTATATAGTAACAATAGTTTCATTGCCGGCTACTTGTTAAGGTAGGGTAAGTCAAGCTCCCGCTATTCCCGCCTTTTTTCCCCCACCCCGAAAGTGATAGTTTGACTGCCGGCTGCTTGTTAAGGTAGGGTCAGTCTAGCTCCCACTATCCCTTCCCCTCCTTTCCCCCCCCCCCGAAAGGTGACGTGTGGGGATCCGGTCCAAACAGTAATCACTAGACTCACAGCTCCCAGCACTACTGTAAGTACATGCCTGCCTTGTATTCTAGTGGATTTATTGGTTAAAAGCTTCACTTTTGACCAATAATAAACTTAGTCCTTTCAGTCTTGCTCTAAGTTGACTGTTGTAATAATCACCACATCTTTTAGGTATTGTACCTATCATGGAGAGTGATTTCTTAAGCAGTGGGTAACCTGTCTATCTTTCCAGCTTGGATGACAGAGAGGGTCACCTGTCAATCAACGAGTAGAACTGATGGAGATGGACTAATGTCCTGAGACTTCCCCTTTTTGGATTTAATTACCTGTGCACCTGTATGAAATTGCAGGACGTAACCCCTCATCATTGCAGCGGTAAAGAACCTGCTTTCCTGTCATCGGGATAGAATACTCAAGGCTATATACTGTGAAGAACTAGCCAGTGGGTTGTAACCAACACCTGCGACCTCCCCCCCCATCATCAGCAACGGCTACGATTTCAACAACACAGTGTCACCAACACCAGACACCCAAGTTTTATATTAGCGTTGAATTCAGTTATCATTTATATTTTTCATTTTTCATTTTCTTTAATGTAGGATTAATATTTCATATTTAAGCATTTTATATTTTATATTTTCTATATAATAAAGTGTTTATGTTTGTCTGTTATTATTTCTTCTTCTATTCATTAATTTTCCTGAGGAGGAGCCAGCCTTGGTAATACTATCTGAAGTTGTTACAGGGCTGAGTAAGCCTTCACAAGTGGCGACCTTGCCAGGATCAACTCTACTGAATCAAGATTCAACTCCATCTCGAATCTACCATTGGAACTTCAACGCCGCATACCACAGACGGTTACCACCAGCCATGAGTAATTCTCTATGGTAGGACTACAGTACAGGTATTTAAAAGATTTGGTGATTGTTATAGTCTCAATTTATTGTAAGTCAAGTCAAGGCAGGAATACTAGTTAATTCTGCCATCTATTTTTGTGTGAGCTTGAAGCACTTTGGAGGATTAGACTCTAGGGACCCGAGATTTTCCAGTGACAATTTGTTTCATTGAGCTCTTTATTATATCAAGGGAACTGTCGTAGGACACTCTTGATTTGTTGGTGAGAAGATTGGATGGTCAAGTGACCCCATTCTACTTACTGTTTGCTCGGAGCCGGCATAGAACCCTTCGTTTTAATTAATACCTATTGTTTAATTGAAGCAGGGATCGAGCCCTCTGGTTTATTTACAGTTTGAGCGAAACAGGAATTGAACCCTCCATTTTCTTTAATACCCGTTTAATTTCCCCTGATAGTTTAAGTTATTCTCGCAAGCATGGAGGAATACCAGTTTTGGATGAATGCTGGAAGTAAGTTAGGAATAACAGGGAAAAATTTAGAATCTTTCATTAGTGCTAAGATCCAGGAAAGACTTGAAAGAGAGAGAATTGAGAGAGAAGAGAGACAGAAAGGGAAAGAGAAGAGAAAAAGGAGAGAGAGAGAATTGACAGAGAAATCCAAGAAAGGCGGTTAGAAAGAGAAAGAGAAGACAAAAAGGAGCGTGATAGACTTGATCGTGAAGAAAGAGCTAGAGTACGTGAGGAACAGGCTAAAATACGTGAGGAACAGGCTAAAATAAGAGAACTTGAGGAAAGAGCAAAGGATAGAGAAGTTGAGGAAAAAGCTAGAGAACGTGAGGAAAAAGCTAGAGAACTTGAGTTAATAGAGAGAGAAAAGGATCGCGAGCTCGAAAAAGCTCGCCTTGAATTAGAGAATAAAAAGTTAACTCTTACACAACAACAATTAGAGGAAGGAGTAATTGAACATCATGCAGCTAGTGCACATATTCCAACACCTAATTTACCTCCCTTCACAGAGGGGGAAAACAACTTCATACATTATCAGGTTTGAAAATACTGCTACCCTCTGTGAATGGCCTGCTGACACCTGGGCTACCAGGTTAGGAATGTTATTTTCTGGTACAGCTTTGAATATCTATGCAACTTTGTGGCAGGATATTATATGTAATTATAACCTACTGAAGAAGGCAATCCTTAAAGCATATGAAAAAAACACTAATTCTTACAGGAAAGATTTCAGGTATGCCACCTTACAGCTTGGCCAGAACTTTCAGCAGTTACAGGTAACACTCTTTCGTTTGTTCGACTTCTGGATAGAGAGTTCAGGAATTGATCACAGTTATGAATCTCTTAGAGACTTCATGGTTGCTGACCAGTTCCTGACAGCTCTTCCTCACCAGATACGAACATTCATTAGAGAACGTAACCTGATTAAAGCTGAGGAAGTTGCCGAGGCTGCTGACCTGTATGCTGAGGCTCACAATTCCTATGAAGACCTAAAGGGATCGAACCCTAAGGGCAAGGGTTCATCAGACCTTAAGAAATCAAAACCTCTAGTGGAAAGTAAAATGACTTCTTTTATTCCTGTTTGTCATTTGTGTGGTGTTAAGGGACATAAACGTCCAGATTGTCCTTCTAAGAAGGTCCAAAAAGTTGGAAGATGGTTTAAAGACTGTAATGACCAAGCACCCTTCTGTTCAGGAACAGTTAATGGACTTAATGTATCTACCATTTTACGAGACACTGGATGCACCTGTATAGTCATTTCTGATAAGCTGTTCCCTAATCTTAAAGAAACTCATTCCTCTGCTATACTTTCAGACTACTTGGGCCGTACGGACACTTTGCCTACCATCCGTTGTTACATTAGGTCTAAATGGTTCACAGGTTGGTCTGAAGCCGTACTAGCTCCCATCACTTCTTGCTCCGTACTAATAGGTAATGTAAAAGGTGCCATTCTTCCTTCTGAGGTTGACCTTTCATCACCAAAGGTGGACATAAGCTTTTCAGATCCTCTTCCTGTAGAGTCAGAGAAGCCCCTCGAAAGTTCAGATGAGACAATGTCTCGCGAGATTCATGAGGGATTAAAAACCAGTGATGCTACTCTCGAAAGCGAGGTAGTAGGATCACCGGTTCACTTATTAGATGAAAGTGAAGATATCACCTCCGATACCATAAATGTCTTAACTAGGGCTCAGACCAAAGCCCAGGCTTCTCCTACTGTCCATCCTTTGATTTTCCCTGACTTTAAGCCTTTAGATATATCGAAGGACTCCTTTGTCAAATTACAACGTAATTGCCCTTCTCTTCAGAAGTGCCATAATGCCGCTAAACAAAATCAAGTTATCCAAAGGAAAAACTTTTCATATAAATTTGAATATATAAAAGGTATCTTGTACAAGTCAGTATTCAAATTAAATTCAGATGAGATAGACTATTCCATCTTAGTTGTTCCAAGTCAATGCAGAGAGACTGTTCTTAAAATGGCTCATGACCTGCCAGTGGCCGGGCATTTCTCGCATCGTAAAACCTTAAATAAAATTAGGGAAACCTAATTTTTCCAAAAATGTCCTCAGATGTCACTACCTATTGTAGATCGTGTAAAGTTTGCCAACTGTCATCCTCCTGAGGTACCAGGCGAGTACCTATGATCAAAATGCCAATCTTTACGGTACCGTTTGAAAGAGTAGCTATTGACATCGTTGGTCCTTTATCTCCACTTTCATCTGGGGGACATAGATATATATATTAACATTAGTTGATTATGCTTCGAGCTTCCCTGAAGCCGTTCCCTTAAAAACCATAACTACTACAGAGGTGGCTGAAGCCCTTTTGTCCATCTTCTCCAGAGTGGGCATCCCTAGAGAAATTTTGTCTGACCGTGGGACACAATTCACATCTGACTTAATGCAACATCTATACCAACTTCTGGGAGTGAAGCCTCTCTTCACCACAC